ATTCTTTAGTCTGAAAGTCTTAGCTCAGTAGAATTTGAGTAAACAATTAAAGAAAGAGCTTGATCACCGAGTTTCGCGCATTGTTTGAGCTAAGCTGCTTTAGCTTATTAATTACAAACTCACAGAGCCTTCCAAGGGAGCAGCTTAACAAGACAACATTCCCTGGCTTTTGCAAATCTATTGTGTTCTATTTTTCCCTTCCCTTTCCCTAGACTAGCTAGGCCTAAACACAAGCACAAGACAGTATAAAACTGTGAGCAAAAAATACGTGCACTCAACCAGAATAATTTTTTTTACAAGAAATATCTGCCTGCTTTTATTTTCCTGATTGAAATTGTACACACATTGATGAGATACCAGTGTTCAAGGTTACAGGTTGAAAGCATTCATCGTTTTCTACATTTTAGCTGTAAAGTTGGTTTATTTGGAAGCAAGAGCTGCTGATAACGCTCAGGGACACTGGTTTCAAGAAGCTTTTCTACTACTGCTTTCTTTCTCGGAAGTGAATTCTTCCAATTTAGGCCAAAAATTGTGCAGTTGATGCACAGCAAAGTATTTCCCAAAATTCTATTTACACAGGCAGATACAAAAATAAGTAAATGAGACTCCTTAGGGCCTAAAGCTGTAACTTTCATTTTATTTATCTTTACTGAACAAAGATCATAAATTTTAAACTTCACATGATATTCAACTCACTTAAAAAGTACAGCCAAGATTAAATTAACTCTTCTTGGTGAAATGACTATAAATTTTGCATTTATCTTATTTTACTATAGCATGGCTATATGCCAAAGCTAATACACTGCATGTCAGTACAGACTGATTACCGAAGGTTATGCAAAGGACAAAAGAAATGCTTTTTACTCTCTACACATTCTAGTCTGAATTTTGGCACTTGCATCTTTCAGCTTAAAAAATTACTGAAATTCTTATCTTCAACAGTATTCCACCAATGGCAGCACTAAATACTTCATGCTGTTATTAACTACAAATAATTTCATCAGCTTTATATCCCAGAACTTGTTACATAGCTACAGAAATTGCTAATTTTCTTTTGTTTTTTTTAAATTTTTTATTTGAAACAATACAAATAGCATCCGGTACTGTGATGTTTAAGAGTACAGAATACACGTGCAGCACCATTGGAGTTCCAATTGACTGAAAGCTTTCCTCACTTAAGGTTGGGTTTCTTGGGTTTTTTGGAACATACATTAAAAATAGTTTAAAACATTTTCCTGGACACATCTTTTAAATAAATTACTGCCAAATGATTAAATAAAAATGCTGCCATTACTGAACAAAGACTAAGCAATAAGTAATTATTCTGAGAACAGCTGGAACACAACTCCCACTAACACTAAAAGGGCAGGTAAAGAATAGAACCAAGAAGTATAACTAAAAGTATATGCATTTTTTCTTGAGATTTCAGTGGCCTGTAAACATTTCCCCCATCCTCTACCCTACTGGCAGAAAATATTGGTGTGAACCTTGTGGGAAGCTTTTACATTGCTACTGGCTTGCATTTTGTGATAAAAGTTTCTTGTGATCTCAAACTGTAACATGAATTCTGCATTGTCATCTCACACAATTATTTTACTGAATGGCTGTTCAGACACACATTTTGAAAAAATTTCTATTGGTGGAACAAGAATTTTCAAGTCACACTTTATTTTGATGGATGCATGTAATTTGATGGTGGCCTACTACCACCAGTTTTCAAGGGGATAACACAGAAGCACAGTGAAAAACTAACATCCAACACTCTTTACTAAATTTGTGTCATTAATTACATCAGCTCTGTATTCAATGAGATTTAAATACATACATGTACAAATCTCATGTGCCTAACTTCAGAAAATAAATGAGAAATTATTTTGGTGATAAAATGCACACTGAAAACTGTTCCCATAAATGAGTTTAAACAGTTTTTGCAAATATGTCCAATCATAATTCAGGGTTTGTAATAACCTGGTATTAAAACTGAAAGAAGGTGAAAGGTAAAGTGTATTATTTAAAATGTCAGTATTATATATAAAGTCAATCTTTCAAATTTACTATGGAAAAAGTTGATATCTGCAGGTTGAGGGAAAGGCTTTAATTATTTAACACTTCATACAGTAATTATATACTTTCTGTACATTTTCAACTGAGCTTCCTTAGCTCTATTTTTCACCTGCTCTTCTATTCATAATGCAAGTCTTCTGCTTCCAGCTGTTCTGAGAAAAACTATTTATTGTTTATGATTTCTTTAGCATTTCCTTTTAACGCTTCAGATTCCTGAAGATGCTACATCAAATCTTCTAAAGCAAATTCATTCTATTCCCTTGTTCTATACTACTTAACACCTTTCTGGAATATTTCTGTGTGGTTTTTTTTTTAGGAGACAGTTGCACAAGCTTGGGCTTTTTCTGGGAAAAGTCTTGAAAAGAAACACTCTTCATTCAAGGCAGGGGGTTTGTTGGCTTTTTTAAGAAAAAATATGATTTGCTTAAAGTCACACAAAACAGGTTTAAATCAGTTCAGCAGTGGCAGATGAGCAACAACACCGTGGTCAGAAAACAAAACACACAATTTCATCAACACTGGCTTCTATCATTGTAGGAGAAAAAAGGGTTACAGAAAACTACCATTAAAGACCGTCCACACAGACAAAAATCACAATAAGTTTAATAATACACATAAAGGCTCAAAGTCACAAGTTTCACAAGCTACTATGAATCCACTGAGCTGCAGTAACTATTCAGGTTGATGCTCAGCGCCATTGGCAAGAAGAGGTGATTTTTTACAGTTCCAAAACTTCCCTAGTAGGCTGACTTAGAACAGGCTGATCAGATAACACTAGTAACTTAATCAGAGACGTTTCAGTGGATCTGTAAAAATAAAATGTAATTAACACAGGGCATCATACATTTTTGCATAAAATTACATCTGCTTAAGAAGTAACTAAACTTACTTAATGTACCAATATATCATTTTTATCAATAATATAAACAATAATGCCAGTCCACTGATAGACTACTGGTACAGTCAGAGGCTGCAATGAGTTGCACAAACATTTTAGTTAAACACTGGCTATTTAAAAACACTGTACTTAACGGGAAAAAGGACATCTTTTTGTGTCAGGCAACTTGCATATCAGAATTTCGCACTAATTACAACAAAGTAAATGATCCTGAACCAAAAAGCCACTTAAATTATATAAAAGTTTCCTTTGTTAAACTTTTTTCCCTGCTGAAGATATGTTAATTAATAGAAGAATCCAGAGCCTTGAAATCTTGCTCACTTGAGGGATATGTCTACTATTGAGAAACTTACTAATTTTACAGTTCACTTACTAAACTTTTATTTATCTTTCCTGTTTACAACTCCTTTTCCAATTTGCTAAACTACATTACTAAATCAGTAGTTTACTAAACACAGGAAAAAGTAATTAGAGCATCATACAATTAGCAACATAGAGAAAAAACCTCTATAAATGCCCTTCAGTCTCTCATCAAAAGACAACAGAACACTGTGCAAGAAAACAGAAAGTGTCATCTTACAGCTGGTATTTCTAAAATGAAAGCAATTACAACATTAGACTTACCACAGCTGTAATTTCAGGAAGTGAGTACTACCTTCCACACATATCTTACTTTTAGGCAACATTTGTCATTCACGTATCCTAAACAAACCCATGTAATTTGTAACCGTTTTTTCCCCTTTACAGAGAGAGCAACAGGAATTAGGGTGAGGCAAGTTGTGGAAGGTCATTTACTAGGCCAGAGACAGCAATACAGCACAAGTTTGCAGAGTCACAAAGTGCCTCCTTCACAGTTCACAGCCATCATTTCCCCAATTTTAACACAGTTTTAGAAAAGATACTACTTAATAAATTATAGCCTCTGTTTTGCATCTGTGCTTGTGGAAGTCTGAACATAAGAAAAAGAGCATTGCAAAAATGCATTTGCCAGATAGAGCTAATAAAATCAAGGCAAATCAGACTACCTGCCTAAGCAACTGCTAAAAGAAGAACATTCTGTACAGTATGTTCAAGTTCTTGATCTCATTTCATTTCAATAACTCTGAAAGACACACCATGGGCATTTTTTATACCTCTAAACTTCATTAGTAGAATTTTTACCCCATAAAGTTCAATGCTTGAACATTTTAACTCTTTTTAGCTATGCTAAATCCAGGTTATTAGGACAGTTAAATGAATTTCTTCCATTTTGTACATTCTTTCTGGGCTGTTCCATTACCAGCGACAAAAAAATGTAAGTTACACTGGACCAAAACAATAAAACAGAAGAGCTAGCATCCGGATGGAAAACCGTAAATATTCAAGGAAAAGCAGAGCAGTTGCTGGTGAAATAAGACAGGGGCCACTGCCACAAAACCTGGTGATCTTTTCTCCTGCCCCAGTCATAATAAATCACCACCCACTCAGAGCGGCACACAGTGAAAGTGATCCATTCTCCCAGAGCAATTTCTGCAGCCCCTATTTAAGAACCCCTTCGGAGCAGGTATGAATGAATAATTCAGCTGGAAATACCTGTCAAGCAGCAGGATGGTTCATGCTACTGCACCTACAGCCACCCCATCAGACCGAGCAAAGCCAGACGCTACCCGTCCACAGGGCTGGCACCACATCGCAACCCCATTTTACGGAGGGAAAGAGAACCCCACCGGCAACACGCGGCTTGGAGCAGGATCTGCCTGTCCCAGGCCCCCGTGCCCAGGAATGACAGCGCCGGAACCCCCGGAACCTCGGGAAGACGGAGCTGTCGGTCACGGTCTTCACGGTGCCACCGTGACCGTCACGCTGGCCGCCCACCCCGCACGGGGTGGCACACACCGCCACGAAGCTGGGGCCCCTCGCACCCCACCGAAGGGCAGCAAGGTCCCTTCGCCCTCCCCTCGCCTCCCCGGGGAGCGGCGGCACCGCCGCCAGACCCCCCCGAGGCCCCACTCCCCACGCCCTCGCCCCGCCCGCCGCCGCCGCCGGGGCCCGGCCTCACCTCTCGCAGGCCCTCGGGTCTCACCTCCATCCCGGCGCCAGGCTGGCCCTTCCCCGCCTCCATCTGCCCTCCCTGGCCCCGCTCCCCGGAGCTCGCCCCCCTCAACCTCTGCCCCGGCGGTTGCTCCGCCCGCCCCGCGCTCTGCAGCGCACCGCGCGCGCACGCACACGCCCGGCGGAACGGTTCCTCCCGGCCCCAGCATCCCCCAGCCTGCCCCCACCGCCGCCTGGCCCCCGCCCGGTCCCGACGCTGCCCCGAGGGCTCCGCCACAGACGCCTCACCTGCATCGACGCCATGATGGATCCTCCTCCCCCTTCTCCCCCCCCTCCCTCTGCGCCGCCGCCGGACCGGCCCCGCCCCGCGCGCTCATGGTCACGTGGCCGCGCCCACCCGTTGGGCGGCCGCGCGTGCGCGGGGCGAGGGCGGTGCGGGCGGGCCCGAGGAGGGAGAGCGGTGCGGGCGGGCGGTGTCCCTGAGGTCTCGGTTGCGATCCCGCTCTCGCTCCCGCCGCCGCCCTTGCCGGCTGCGGTGGAGGCGCCTCGCCGTCCCATTGCGCACACCGGGAGGCTCCCCCCGGTACTGCCCATCCCCTGGCTCGCCCTGCGGCCAGGCCGGGAGCTGCGCCCAGGGCTGTCCATCATCGTCACCCGCGGGGACGGGATGGAGCTGACCCCCCGCCCATCCTCTGTTTGTGGAGGTATTTAGAGCTGAGCCCAAAGTTTGTAAGGGATTTAGTTAATGCGGGCTGTGCCCCTTCTGCGGGTTTCTCTGGGCTCCCCTCACGCCTGGTGTGCCCCGGTGGGGGATCACAGATTCATGGAATGGTTCGGGTTGGAAGGGACCCTACAGATAATCTGGTTCCAACCCCCTGCCATCGGCAGGAACACCTTCCACTCGATCACGTTGCTCAAAGCCCCATCCAGCCTGGCTTTGAACACTGCCAGGGTTGGGGCATCCACGACCTCCCTGCACAACCTGTTCCAGAGTCTCACCACCCTCATAGTAGTGAATTTCTTCCTAATATCCAGCCTAAATTTCCCCTCTTTCAATTTGTACCCATTACTCCATGTCCTGTCCCTACAGATCCCACTACAGGTCGGACCGGGGATCCGCAGCAGGCGCTGCTGCGCGGGCTCGGGGCACTGGCAGAGGGAGAAGGGCTGGACGGCGGTGCTGGAGGACCCTCCCGGTGGGGGGTTACTCCCGTGGGCTCCCCTCTGTGCTGCTCTGCCACAGCTCTTTACATAATCTGATTGTCCTGCACTGGTGGTGTACGTGCAGGGCTATATTTTAAGTGGGAGCATTTTTGTATTCCACATATTCTCTCCTGGACTGGAATAACCTCTGTCCTTTGCACCAGGTGATTTTGCGGTATCTGTGTAGGTGAAAATAAACAAGCAGCATTTACTAGAATGATTGTGTGCAATCAAATTAAACAACTTGAGGAAACACACTTCATAAAACTGTTATTCCTGCTGTAGTATTTCAGATTTAACGGATCCTCAAGATAAACCTACAAAATGTTTATCCAAAGACAAACCTATGAAATCCATAATCCCAGGGGTTATGTAAAACCAAGGATTTAACAGAGAAACTGATTTTATAGGTCATTATAATCTCCATCTCTTGCTGCACATCCAAAAACATCGGACTCCCTTTCTCTGTCCCTTTACACCCCTCCTTTCTGATGATGCTAAAAAATACTTGTGTCACCTCTGCTCCATTGGTAGCACATGATTTTTCCTTCAGAGATGGCCTGATATGCAAACAGTTAAATTACTGAACAATTGTTAACAGTTTGTATTTACCTTTGAAATCTGCTTCTTTAATTTTAGACCTTGAGAAGGGTTCTGCATCTAAAAGCCTGCCTATCTTCTTTAACCAAAATATATAGTGTCATGCAAGTACTACCTCTGTGTACAAGTTTTACCTTCTGGTATGTTTTTATGCATCCTCAACTTTGAAAACAGCTAACTGGAGGAAAACAAAACAAAAAAACCCAGCACAACACAATATCAGCTTCCAAGTTTATCCAGCATCAACAATGTTGTTAAAGCAAGCATACAAACTTTGGGGGTTTGCTTAAAGGGAAGAACAGAAGGCAGCAGGAGTGTCCTTACACTGTGAGGCAGGTGCAGAAGGGAACAAACTTCTTGGCTTTGCAGGAATTTGCTGTTAACAGAATCGTGTTGATTTTTGAGTAGGAAAGATTAGCCTACCAAAAGTAAGGATGGGAAAAGTATTGTCGTGTAAGCTGCAACCTATACCTTTTGCCTTCTAAATTCAATTCTCATTCACAAACTCTGGGCTCCTGATGCCATGCAACCTAACATTGCTTTACTGTGTTTTCCCTGGAAGTCAGTATTTATTACTGTGTGATTTTGCAAGATCATTTGTGTTGCAGAGGGTTTATTGTATTAAGTAGACACATAACACCAGGTAAAGGTTTCTTTTTCTTGCAGTTCTTCAGAACTAACTTAGGCCGTCACAGCATGAAGTGGAACATTGCTGTTTCTGTTTTACTAGTTGTTGTTTTGCATGATCCAAGCATATGTTTATCCTAAAATACTTCTCTTAATGCCATATGCCACAAAGATTGCAAGAACATCAAGTTTAAGCAATGGACATGTGTTCGGCTGTAAACATGGACATATTGACTATCTGTGCTGATGTAAAAACACAGCGAGATAAAACTGATTTCAAACCATTATATTCAGTTTCTTAAGCCTGTTCCAAAAAACCCAGTTGAAGGTCAGAAGATAGAAAGCAGCATAAGCTTATGAATGCCAGCACAGTTCATAGAGTGCAAGCTTGGTTTCGCATGGAAAGATCAGCACACTGTATTCAGTACAAATATGACTTCTACTCTGTAATAAAGAAAAATTATCTCTGGATGAAAAGCTACCTTTGCAAAAAATAAATTATAGCTTTTAACTGCCCTTATGTCCAAGAAGTCTTTTTTATGTATCACACGGAGATTTTCAATGTTAAAAACAAAGCACCTACCACATTTTGGACTATAGTATTGTTTACTGGCATAATTTCATCCACACTGCAAATCCCATTCCTGAGGATAGCAGGCATGAAAAGCAAGAGCAGTTTTCCCTTCATATATAAACAGAGCATGAATTCAGTACTACCTGCTCAAGCTTAACTGGGTATGTAAGAAACTAAAGCATTACTCTGCAGCTGAAACTTGTGACCAGAATCCCTCATCCCTGAATTCACTTTGAGTATAGTTTATTCCTACAGGACTACCAAAAGTGTCTGTTATCACTGTCGTCACATCTTTGTTTTTTAAAGTGTCATGCAATGCCTAATATATATGTGCAACATTTTTAGCTCCATGTCATCATGGGAATAGGGGCAGCTGGAGAATGATCCCTGTGCTCTATCGGTTTTTCTCCCTTTCCCTATGTCTTGGTAGCCTGGCTGGCAGGGAGTTGTTTTAGTAAGTGTTTTTGTACAGTACATAATGCTATAGGGAGTAGACAATCAGTCCCATAGCACAGTAAGAAAACAAACACTATTATCAGGCTCCCAGAAAAAAAATTATATGAATATCAGTATTTTCTTCCTTAAATTATCCAGTAATCCCACTAAGGAAAGGCCCAAAATCCCAAAGAGGGTAAATTTCACAAAGAGTTGGTTATATTGTAATTTGGTGTTCATTTCAGTATTGACCTTTACTTATGCAAAATGTAGATGAAAACACTTTTGCAGTTAACCCTTCCGAATCTGTTGCAGCTGTAGAGATGGGCAGCACAAGTAATTTGGTCTTTAAAAAAGAAAGCTTTAGTATTTAGTTAATGCAGTCTGATCCTGCACCAGTCGACCTAAGTTTCGCCAGAGACTTCAAGAATTGGAGTCCTGGGTGCCAAATATTCAAAACTTCAGGGGTAAGAGGAATTCAGTCTGCTATCTTCATTATTTTAGAAGCTATCTTGCACTGATCTGATCAAATACATGATTATGACTCATTTATTGAAAATGTATGGAGCAAATAATGAAAATTGTACCTCCTACTGAAACTGTTTCTGTAAATATTCTTGATCTAAAAATCCACTTTTCTTCAGAATTTGCATAACCTTAGGCTTACAGGAAAAATGCAGCTAAAGTTCAAACACAGATGTTCAAACATGCTAAAACATTGTTAGATAATTTTCTGATATATCAAGTCAGCTTCATAAAGGTCAAATATGTTTCTTGATTAGGGTGCCTATAATTTTATATTTTACTCCCTATGTTATCCATAATGTTTTCAAACATTACCAAACTTCTTTTTTCCCTCTGCTCTCACTTTTTTTTCTGTATCATTTTTCTACACACTGAATTGTCACTGCCTGCTTCTTTATAATTTCTGCCTCTATAATAACATCGGAGCTTGATGTCTTTTGTGTGCATCCACTGTACTTCTTTAGCTTTCCATCTTGTCTCCTTTTTACACAGAAATCAACTGTACATTCTCGTTAACCTCCTCTTATTACTCAAGTGGCATAGCAACCATAATCTGCAGAGCCAGGAGGCCGCAGCTCATGAGCATGGAGGACTCCCTGCCCCTCACAGGAATTGCACCAACTGCTTCTTCCACTCCTGCCTGCCAGTTTAAGGAAGGCACTGAGTTTAAAATCTGTGGAAATAAGATCTGATAAACAAGCCTGACGCACCAGCAAAAACCATCAACCAAAGATGCAGAATCAAACCAAGACAAAATTATATCAATAATATAAAAGAAATATATTGCACACATAGCTAAAATTGAAAATACCCTAAATTTGCAAGATGTCTTTGAGATGTTGAGATTTTATTTTGTTTTATTCCTTAATGATAATACAGGTTTTTCATCAATGGCATATCCCATTTTCATCCTAGTTCTTAACAGTAACAAGCACATTATCATTTCAGTCCCAGGACTTCTAAGTGGATGAAAAAAGTCTAAGAAAAAGAAAAGTTTCACCTTATTTCTGATCTGCTACAAGTTCAGTGCCTGCAGAAGACTGTTCTTAGATGTCACATGCTTCCATTTCTTCTCTTGTATAGCATTTGACAATTTTGCAGCCACTGGGTAATCTGTGGCTTTCAATTTATCCACAGGGAGACTAAACTACCAAAACAATTTTCCATCACATCAGAAAAAGAATTTGTTATATTATGTGGACACAGTTGTAATTACTGCAGGGGAAGGAGGAGGACATGGGGCTAGGGAAAGGAGTGGAATTATGTGTTTTAGTAATATGCAGAGTCACGGGATGAGTCAGGTTGGAAGGGACCACAGTGGGTCATCTGGTCGAACCTCCCTGCTCAAGTAGGGTCACAGAATTACAGAATATGCTGAGTTGGAAGGGACCCACAGAGATCATCAAGTCCAACTGTCAGCTCTGCACAGGACCATCCTCAAGAGTCATACCATGTGCCTGAGAGTATCATCCTAATGCTTCTTGAACTCTGTCAGACTTGGTGCTATGACCACTTCCCTGACGACCCTGTTCTGGTGCCCAACCACCCTCTGGGTAAAGAACCTTTCTCTAATATCCAACCTAAACCTCCCCTGACACGACTTCAGGCCATTCCCTCAGGTCCTGTCACTGGTCACCACAGAGATCACTGCTTGCCCCTCCTCTTCCCCTCACAAGGAAGTTGTAGATCTCAATGAGGTCTCCCCTCAGTCTCCTCTTCTTCAGGCTGAACAGACCAAGTGACCTCAGCTGCTCCTCAGACAGCTTCCCCTCAAGGTCCTTCACCATCTTTGTTGCCCTCCCCTGGACACACTCTAACAGCTTAATATCTTTCTCATATTGCAGTGCCCAAAACTGCCACAATATTCAAGGTGAGGCTGCCCCAGTGCAGAGCAGAGCAGGACAATCCCCTCCCCCAACCAACTGGTGATGCTTTGTCTGATGCACCCCAGGACATGGTTGGCCCTCCTGGCTGCCAGGGCACTGCTGACTCATCCCAGAGCACATTGCACAGGATTGCATCCAGATGGTTCTTGAATACCTCCACTGAGGGAGACTCCACAACCTCTCTGGGCAATCTGCTCCAGTGCACAGTCACTCACATAGTAAAGAAGTTCTTCCTCATGCTCAGGTGGAACTTCCTGTGCATCAGTTTCTGCCCATTGCCTCTTGTCCTATTGCTTGGCACTGTATGCTGTAATTAACAATTTGTACTAATTGTCAAGCCATGTTTTTTGGCATCAGTAGTCCTCTAACTCTTTTAAATGCTGTAAAGATAAATACCTATGAAGACAAAAGCTATAAAAAATTAATGAGGATTGTGTAGGACCTATACTCAATTAAGTAGATGAATGCAGTAAAAAGTGCAAGGTTATGTAATTATTAAAAGTTCTTCCACATCAAAAGCATCCACAGCCCATGTGAGCAGGTTGATTACTGTGTCTGCCAAATCCAAGTGTTAAGAAGCTGCTCAGTAAGAATCAAATATCATTATCATTTAGTAATTTTATTTTACCTTTAAAGAATGTGAACTGGAGGCTTCTCAGGTGATCTCACACAAATACATAGTTCATGTTCTTATTAGGAATGCAAACAAGCAACTCTGAATTCATAAGCAGTGAAGATACTGATACAGAATTTTCGAAATTAAGTAGCTGTTTGGTCTTGCTAGTCTAGAAGCAAAACTGCAGGAGAAGAGGCATCTCTGGTAACCTGTATAGATGTGCGATAAACTATCACAGTTCCCAAGGGCTGAAAAGCAATTCCTCCAGCTGTGCACATCAGGCTGCACACTACCCTCACCGGACCCTGCACTGCTTACTGAGCTTGCAAAATTTCATTTTGCAGACCTGTACACCAAGATGACACTGGTCCAGCCTGTTCGTTTGTTTATTTAATGTCCCTCGGGAAAGACTAGAAATCATATGGGATATGATTACGATGAAACAGAGCTATGATATGAAAGCAGAATGGATGAGCAGTTACTTGACTATTTCAACTACGTATTTTCAGACGGTTTTCTCCTGAAGTCATAGTTGTTTATTACAAGTCAAATATTTTTCATTATTTAAGTACTCTATGACAACTATGAAAGCAGTTTAAATGTTAAATATTGATATATCACTTTCATGTTTCATTTGTAGCAAACTACAAATAATTCTGACTCAAATGGAGTGTCATTTCTGGAAAAGATTATATGTCAACTTAGCATGGTAATGCAGGAAGTTTTCCCCTGTATAAAAAAAAAGAAAATAAATCCTTTGTGCCAAATGCATTTAAATTCTAGATATTTTTCAGGCTTGGTGATACTAACCAAAGCTGAAAACTTTTTACATAAGAGTGAATTAATCTGCATAGCAGGAATGTCATTCTTTTACTAGACAGAGTAACAAGAATATGTAGCAACATAAGACAAGAAATATGTATTACTTACAGTTTAGTATAGTGGTGATTTTGGAGATAAACATTTTCTATTAGTGTAAATAGGATACCAACAGTATTTTTTTTATGGGAACAAAAGCCCTAGTTATTAATCCTCACCTGAAAAGTTTTAAATTTGAATTAGCATTAATGGAATTAACAGCATTTGTTTTTAACTTCAAAGTAACTTCTGTTTGAACAAAGAAATTAAAAACAAATAAATAAGGAGTAGTATTAATCCATGCTTGTATTCCAAAAAAACTGATCTCACAAAACTATTCTGGAAAATAGTAACTTTAGCACAGTACTGTAGATTTTAATTTATCTAAAAGCTCTCAAGTTGTTACTTTCACTGAACTAAAAGGCAATACATATTTCAGGGGTAATTTTAACTTAATTTTCCAATTCTCTCCTCAACAAGTGAAGCTATAAAACGTTACATGATGAACATCTTGAAAACTGCCCAAGTACGTAAGTTCAATGAGACGCTGAAGTACTCCATTTGTCAGAGAAAAATCATGACCTTGTATCTGTGATCTCCTCCCATGTAGTGTGGGAGGAAAATCCTGTGTTCTGTAAACACAAAACAGTAACATGGCAATGACAGGAAGATATATCTTTTTTCTTTTTTTTTTTTTTTTAATCTCAGTGACCTTTCTCCCATAGAAGATTACACAAACTGCATTTTGGATGTAACATACACAAAGCTTGATTTCTTGACACATAACAGGTCTTAAAACTCAAATTGATAAACTCACCATTCCTTTCTCTGTGCTCCCTTAGTGATGACACTCAAGCTTTACAGGTGGCTGGTAATAATCACAAAATCTACTATGTGCTCTTTTCCAGCTCTTCCAATCGCTGTGCCACACATTGAGTTCACAGGATTGGTATCTTCACATAAAATTGCCATCTAACAAAATACATTAAAGAAAAAAACAACTCCAATCCAGCTGATAATTTGTCAAAATCCTTCAAAGTTGAACTTTTTCCATGGGAAAAAACTACCTAGTACCTTTTTTTGCTAATTGCAAAACTTTACTCTGTCTTTAAAAACCAGCATCCTAGTTTGTCTTCCAAATCCACGTGATCTTTTAACGAGTTCCTACTGTTTTTTCTTACTCAGTTGTTGAAATCAAGTTTATATCACAGCCTCCACCCTTAGTTTTTAGCTAGGAAAAGTGCTACTTCTCATTAGTTCCTACACACTAACATTATGTTTTTGTTGACTCTGCAGTAACTGTTACTCCCTTAAATTATACTGCAACATTTGAGACCTGACAAAATAAAAAGAGGGACACAAAACACGGATTGAAAAGTTAACTTTCCCACCCTGCTAATTTCCTTGTCCACTTTATCTATCACATAAACCAACAGATTTAGGGAAATGTTGGGAACACCCTTTCAACGGGAAGAGTAAAAACAAGAAAGGGTGAAAAAAAACAGCCATTGCTGCAGTTTAGGCGTGTGAAATACAATGTACAATGATAAAACACAGGCAGAAGCAACCAGTTTTCCAAACTTATTACTGTTAATTAAGAAATGCCTTTCAGATATCACGTCCAGCACAGCTGTTGAATATAATGGCACAGTGAATCCAGATGATGAATCCTTTTTTCAACTTCAAAACCAAAAAGGAATTTCATGTCTTGTGGAGTTCTGATCATTCTGGATGCACAGACTATGCTGGAGACCATCAGAGACTTCTTCAGCAGCTTGTTAACATTCAAATGATTACAAACCAAAACAGTTAGTAAAGAATCTGGAAGTTTCTATCACTCAATCAGCGGTTAAGTTTAAATCTTGAACCATCAGATACAGGACTAGCTTACTAAGTAAAAGGAGTATTATGGGACGCTTGAAGTGTTCAATATATCCTCAGCAAGATATCCTTGAAGTATCCTTGAAAGTATCTTCTTCAAGCCTGTTCAGGAATACCATGCCTTTTTAGTACTTAGTTGTTTCTGAGAACTGTGGATACTTGTAACTCAGAGCAGCACAAAGATACCTAAACACTTCAAATGTATGAAACTCTTTAGAACTATGAAAAAAACCCACCACCTTTAATTTTATACATGCAGTTTCACAACCTATTACCTAAATACTAATTACATTGCCATATACTGTAGCCATGAAAATTATGATTCTGCACCTGAACACTTCCTCTGAGAAGTCACAAATCAAAAGAAACACAGGTTTAAAAATTTTCCACTTTGAAATTTATTTAGAACTCAGGGGTTAAGCGTGGTAAGTTTCCAATTGTCTGATAATAGCATACCCACGTAACTATCACGGAAATTGCACTAATTCCCTCTGCCCCCCTCCCACTTAGAAATCTGGTTTAGTTTCAACAGCCGGTGGTTTTGCAAATAGTGCGCTCTGGGCCACTACTGCGTTTCCTGAGTGTTCGAAGCTACTGTATGATACATTACGCTGAAAGAAAACCAACAAAATTATTATTCAGAGCTAAACCAGCTGTTTTACCTTGCTGCCGAAGTACAGAATCATGAAATGCAATGTATTTTAACAGGAAATTGTTTTGGAATGCTTAAAAAGGGGAAGAAAGAAAAGAAAAAAAAAAGAAAGAAAAAACACCATTTTTAAAAAAATGACATACTTTTTGCTTTAATTTCAAACTATATAATTTTAAGCCTCAAGTCATTAATCTCAAAACTATTAAAAATGGCCAGTGAACTTAAGACTCATTCAGATTGATATGTAGTTGTGACTAAAATATCCATGTCGGTATTCCTTGACCTTTTAGGGTATTCCTAGCAGCTCTAACAAAAGCAGCATAGCAGGGTATCTCTGGTTTATCTTTCTAGTGCTCTTGAAAATGAGTTACTAACAGCACTGACCACAGTGCTTACACATAGGATTCCAGACAATTGCCCTGCAATGCACTTCAGCTTTATCGTGCAAAACCAATCTGGTCACAGACACCCCCACATTAAACACATTAAATTGTGCCAAAGTATGTGATGTGAATAAATGTCAGCTAATCTATCAACACATAGATAAATGTCAGCTTGTCTATCAAGCATTATTTAAGCCCAGAATAAAATTTCGTTTGTCAGAACTGAACTCCTCCATGGGCAGACAGCATAGTCTCTGTAAATGACTAGTTTTCAACCAGAAAAATCTCTTCAAACTTGTATTTATGTTGACAAACAGGTTTAGAGGAGAGTTTCAGCCTTCTAAATTAGCCATGAGTTAATACATCAAGAAAGAGGTCCCACCATCAGTTGGTGGGATTTTTCCATGATAGACCACAACCACTTCTTGATCAAAACAAAGCTGAAGCACAGGCGGCTGATGGAAATGCTAACTACATTGTTCTTGCATCATTTCTCAGGATGCATTAGATTTATTCTCATTTACACATGGTTTTGGCAGAAGCATTCTTCAGGCTGCAGCTGACCAAAACGCAACTTCTTGTCTCAAGTTGTTTGGTTTTTCCTCTTTATGGAAACTTGCTTTGAACAAAGAACTCATAATACAAGCAACTGCCAGCAGGAACTACCAAGAGATGACGTGTTCCACTCTAGTATTACATCAGTGGCTTGCCAATCCTTTTCCCCTAAAACATTTGTAAAAACATTGGAAAGACCTATGAAATTTATAAAACAGCTCCTTAAACATCTGCTTAATGCCCTTTCCTTCAAATATAAAAGACCTCCAACACTTTAGGGTCTTTTTCTGTGGGTACAAGGGAGAGGTCAAGGAAGAGGTAAAAGGTAGGATAACTGATATATTTTCAGCTGCTATGTTACAAAATGTAAATGACTACTACTCTAAAGATTAAATACAGACTTTACACAAGCAAACAGAACAATGGAAATAAACCATAACTGAGGTCATATAAAATCCTTATCGGGTCAAGTGACAGTATATTAAGAATAACCTTATATGTTATACAGAAGAAAATATACACAGATTGTAACAGTTAGTTTTCCCCTTAAAAGTCACTGTCAGTAGGATCACAGTCTTACTGCACAGACAAGTGACTGGAATATTTGAAATTACTAACAGGGTAAATTTATGTTATAAAAGAAAAATGTATCAAGTACACCTTTACATATGTCTATACTATGACTTAAATTAAAAGCCTTCTTAAACATTCTCCTACATACTCCACTTTCACCCTAACTGGAATATCACTGCCAGTATACAAACCTAGGGAGGGCACTTCTAATCTAGTTAGTGTAACTATTCTAAAGGACAGTCATCTTAAAAAGGAGATTAAGTTCAGATGTTTAGAAACTTTAAAAACAAGAGAAAGTTAGAAACCCTAAACAGCTATTCGTATGTAATTATAATTACCTTTTAGAGAATGAGACTAAACTCCAGTATTTGCTATGCTCATTGTATTAAAAGAAAGTTCTACCACACCTAAAGGATAAGGCATAGCCATCTACTAATTGGCATATTTGTTTATTTGTGAAAAGGTCCTTATTTGTGTAAGCAGCAAAACAAACTCCAACTGAATGATTGCTATATGCAAAAGAACTGAAGGCAACTGCCTCTGCAGTGAACTTTATAGTTCTCAACAGCACACACGCAACATGCTATCTGAAAAAAGTTACTAACTGAACTACATGTATTAAATACTGAAAAAAGTTTTACATTTTTTTATTATAATTTATTTTATTTAACAATCTAAGAAGTTTGCAGCCATCAGAAGTTCCAGTGCAATTTCAGGTGCAATTGGGAATTCAGGAATCTCCGTAGAGCTGTTAGTATAGCGGACCTTGTAGGTGAAATACATGCATACTTTGGATAGGACATGGGATGGGATCTCTCTAAAATTGACCTCATTTGTTTCATTTTCTGCAAACTGTCCTGTAGAAAGAAAAAAAAAACAACACAAAAGAACACCAAAGCAAAAGTCAGAATCTCAATTCACTGCAAAATGAAACACACTATTACACTAATACAACACATTCTAAATAGACCTGCATAAGTCCCATATTCCAGGGTATTAGATTCTTCGTTTTAAAGCAGGAGGTGCCATATTCAGAGCTCTCAAGAATATTAAGATACCCAGCATTACAAAGTGTTTATTTTGGCTGTAGCCTATTAACAATATTCTGAACAACTACACCAGAAATTTAGGTTTACTTCTAATATAGCTGATATGTGCTCTAAAACTGTAGTGTGCTCAGTCCTAAAGGTTCTGAAGTTCACAGTAACAACGACAACAATAAAAAGACATCAAATTTCTAACTGTCTTAACGAAGGGGAAAAAAAAAAGCTTTATAGATGCACTGTGTCTGCACATGCACACCTAGCAGTAGTCCCTTCTGTGACTCACTAGCTTTGAATTTCTCAGTTTCGGGCAGATTTGACAAAAGGGTTGAAACCTCAAAGATGCATTAACTTGGTAAGTTGTGAAAACAGGCAGGCAGCAGGGACAGAGAAACTCTAGTTGTACTGAAGGTTACATACAGTACGAGTTCATCGCTATTAGATATTAAAGAATTTATGCAAAGCTCAAATCTCAAAACACAAGTACATTTGAAATTAGCTTTCTATAGTGCCTATAACTATGAAACCTGGATGATACAAAGTCATCCTATGGTTCATCCCACAGCCTTTCTACTGTTATCTTTGTTTCTCTTTTCCTCATATCTCTGGACTTTCAATAAGCTGAAAGACAGCACAAAAAATACTAACATGAACTCCATATTTATGGAAGACTAGCAGTGTTTGGTTCCCATTATTTCTGTAGGCCTCCCCTTCTAACTACAAAACAGAACTATTTACTAATGTCTACACAGATTTGTGTAGAAGTATCTGATGCACTGAAGGCAATCTGGCTTGAATTCTAGTACAGGAACAGTCGGAAGCAACAGAAGAAATGTTAGCATATTGGCAATTGTCACAGCACTGGAACAGAACACTTAAACATCAGTGAAATTATGACCTACTGAACTAGACAGCAACGGCACTTTCCCTTGTGAATGCATTTATCTTGCTAGTTTTTATACAAAATATCCTTGAATGCTGAGTCCTTTACGGAGTCAGTTTCTAGCCCTCTAAGCAGGTTACTTTGCCTTTTATTCCTTCGTTGAACAAATTCAGAGCAGGTCTTGTAACTACTCTTCCTCTTGCCTGTCTGGGAGGACAACATGGAGTGGATCAGACACAAAAGACATTTTACATATTTTCAAATGCAACCACTAAAATAACAGCAGAACATTAAGCTGAGAATTTTAATTGCTCAGTTTGTCCAAGTATTACTAAGTAATTTTAAAATGTATTACACAAATAGATCTCTCCAATAATGCTCCTCACCAGAACCTAAAAGAGAACAGAAGAATGACCATATTCATATCTGAGCTCCACACAGCCCACTGCCACTCCAGTGGCTAAAGGTAAAGACACAAGATGAGGGTGAAGAAGAGGGAAAGCTTGTGTCAACTTCTCCCTGTTCTCTCCTCCAAACCTTTTGGTCTTCAAAAATTAGTTTAGACACTTCTTAACCCAGACATAGTCTCATATATTCAATAACACACAAGGTCCTTCCCTTCTGTAAGTTTATCTACCCTTGTCTCAAAGGAAAGCTAACTTTCATCATTAGGCTCAGGAATTCCTTGCCATGGGATGCTGTGAACATGTGGCCTAAATCCAACTAGGCAGCTGAGCACCACACAGCCACTTGATCACTTGCCCCAGCTGTGGACAAAGGAAGAGGAAAGGAAGAGTAAAAGCAAGAAAACTGGTGGGTTGAGAGAAGAAAAAGAAAACAAAACAAGTTATGCAAAGGTAATCATCACCTCCCATGGGTAGACTGATGCCCAGCCAGTTCCCAAGCAAAAGGTGGCTAACCTTCTGCAGTGGGTTTCTGTGGCTGGGTTTTGGTAGCAGGGGGGCTACAGGGGCGGCTTCTGTTAGAAGCTGCCAGAAGCTTCCCCTGTTCCGTGGAGCCAATGCCAGCCGGCTCCAGGATGGACTTCCTGCCGCTGGCCAAGGCCAAACCAATTAGGAGTAATAGTAATGCCTCTGTGATAACATATTTCAGAAAAGAAGATTGTTGCGCAGAAGAAATTCCAGCCAGGGAAGAGTGGAGTGAGAACATGGGAATAACAGCGTAGACACCAAGGTCACTGCAGAAGGAGGGGGAGGAGGTGCTCCAGGCACCAAAGCTGAGGCCCCTGCAGCCAGTGGTGCAGACCATGGTGGAGCAGCTGTGCCCCTGCAGTCCATGGAGGACCATCCCGGTGCAGAGACCCACCTGCAGCCCATGGAGCAGGTGGATGCATGAAGGAGGTTGTGACCCCATAGGAGGCCCAGGATGGAGCAGGGTCCTGCCAGAGACCTGCGGCCCATGGAGATGGAAGCCCACACTGGAACAGGTTTTTCCGGGATAGGACTTGTGGCCCCTGTGGGGGACCCACGTCAGTACAGCTCATTCATGAAGGACTGCACTCCATGGAGGAATGACCCATGGGACAGCAGTTTGGGAAGAACTGCTGCCCGAGGGATGGACTCATGCTGGAGAGGTCCATCAAGGACTGTCTCCCATGGGAGGGACCCCACGGGAGCAGGGGAAGGACTCCTCTCTCTGAGAAGTGGCAGAAACAACAACTGACCACAACCCCCATTCCCCGTCCCCCTGCACCACTGGGGGGAGGAGGGAGAACAAGGAAGGAAGGAGGAGTGGGGGGAAGGTGTTTTTAAGACTGTTTTATTTCTCACTCTTTGGCTCTTATCCTGTTAGTAATAAATATTAAGTACTATCCACACTTTGATTACCTTCACGGGCAAAACAAGACTCAATCACTGACCTCTCCAAGCTCTTATCTCTCCTCATGAATTCTTAGCTGTTTTTTTTCCTCTCTCCTCTGTCCAGTTGCAGAGGGAGAACAAGAGAGCGGCTTCAGTGGGTACCTGGTATCTGGCCAGGGTCAACCCACTACATCTCCCTAATTCCCTCCACTCTCTTTTTAACTTTGGAGCTTGATATTATATGGCATGTAATATCTCTTTCACTAGTTTGGGTCATCTGTTTGGTTGTGTTCCCTCTCAACCTCTTGCACACCCTCCTGTCTGGAAAGTCATTGGGTGGGGGTAGAGTGAGGAACAGAGAAGGTCTGGAGTGCATGCAAAACACCTTTCAGCAACAGCTAAAACAGAGGTGTGTTATCAGCACTATTTTGGTCACAAATTAAAGCACAGAACCACATGACCTGTTATGCAGAAAATTAACTCCATATAGAATACAAGTTCCACTGGAGGTGGCAATAAAAAACTACTAGCTTGTTCGTTTTGAACTTGACAGCTACACATTTCATGCAGTACCCTCAAGTTCTCATACCATGAGAAACTAGTAGCAATGATACTATACGATCACTAACTTCCCAAAAGAAGAGTTCAATTTTAAGTCTGGTAGCACAATACCCCACAGAGGTGGACTGTTCTGCTGGAAACAGGAACTAGGCAGGATCTGGAAAAGTTATCACTTATTCCAACTTTCACTCACTGCATGATAAAATATCAAACTGTCCAAAAGTGAAAGCAAAGAATGTGAAGGTACTAAATCTTTTGTACCTACCCGGTCCACTCAACATAGCTTTTATTGTTCCTGATGTTAATGCATGCTCTCTTTTTACGATGAACTCATGGCCATCGGAGGATATTAACTTCACATACATAGCATCTGGGCCTTCACACCCACCATATGTTTTCTCTTCTCCATCTATAATGGAAAAAAAGACAACGGTTTGAGAACACAATATACTGATTCACAACACTAATAATGCAAGTTGCAGTCTTTTCTATGACTACGTTTGCAAAATGAAGAATCCAAATGCAACCAGAAATAAGACAGAAGCATTTTCCATATTTGAGGACTTTGTACAGAATCACAGAACATTCTGAGTTGGAAGGGACCCACAGAGACCACTAAGTCCAACTCTTAAGTGAATGAGGGGACTGAACCCACAACCTTGGCTTTATTATCACCATGCTCTAACCGAGTTAATCTCCTCTGAAACAATCAGCAATCTGTTTTAAGGTAAGAATTTTTGCATAAGTTGGAATTTCAACATCTCTCCTCTTTCATTCCTCCATCACCAAATTCTGTCATGATTTCTAAAATCCATGTAGGGATGAAGTTTTCCTTTAGACATTCTGAAGTGAACTGAACGTGCTACTGATTCCCACTGTAAGGCTATTGCCATGTTTATCATACTAAAACTTGCTAAAAGTTACCTAAAAGACATAGCTGATATTTAAAAACACAGACTGCAAGGAAAAAAGTGCTTTCCGAAGCACAGGTAAGAATAAAAGCAGTCAGTATTCCTGCACTGAAGAAATGAAGATTCATCTTCCCTCACTGCCCAACGAGACCCAGAACCACACAGCATTAGTGCACACCCATGTTGTGGTGCAAAACAGGGAAACTGCCAAAGCACTAAACCCAAGGAAATTTGGAAATTCTCCCCACAGCAGTTTTGACTGTGCTTTTTCTGTTCCACTAAATACCCACTCTTTACTTTTCTTATCCAGAAGCCTTTACCCTCTTCCCTTTTTGTTCCTTCATTTATTCTATCCCAACAGCGCTATCTTTAAAAGCTGAATTACTGTTGCCAGTATAGCAAGCAAAACATTCCCCCAATCAAGTTGTTTTGTGAATTTGAAATTAAAATTTTATTACCATTTAGTTATTGCCAATTTTAGTAACGTACTGTCAGTGCCAAACATGCTAAAATACACTCAAAAAGTACAGATAAAACCAGAATCTGTCCAATCACATTTCATTAACCAGTCATTTATAGAGGCAGATACAACAGTTTCAGACGTAGTCATATCACACACAATGTAATTTACCAGAAATCAGTTCTTATTATGATCTCTTGAGCCAGAATTCAACAGGCTGACCTTAGCTAACAAACAAGCAAAGAATTACTTAAAACAGTACACAGTGAAATTTTCTTGTCCACTGTCTAAAAGTTTAGTGCGATAAAAGCCTAAAGGCATTCCTATTTTAGCATGTACATTTTTAGGACTATGCATGTTAAGCAAGTGAAATGTTTTGTTAGATGGATGCACTCTGAACAAGTGTTTCCATAAATGAACAGTCACTTGAGAAAATTCTCCTACAAAACATTTGTAGGAAGTTCCACTTACTTTTGAGGCTGCAAGAAAAACAATGACAAGATCAACATTTAAAGTCTTACAATCCAACTCTTCTACTAATGTGAGAGAGAAAATGCTTCAAATCACAGGAAAGCAGAAAACACTCTAAGACTATGAACTTACCCATTCTCTTCCTATAAAAAAAAAATATTCCTTTTCAACTGCAGATTTTGCAACAGGAGCGTCTGAAAAAACACAAGAGGCAATATTTTGAGTCAGCAGTAGCATTTTTAAAGTCACCTTCATTTATTAGTCTTTATGTTATCATAAACACCCTTCAGAAAAGAATACGATAATACACAGCATGCAATGTTGATGAGCAGTCCATTTTGAAAACGGAAACCTATGAAGTTCACCAATGGAAAATGCAAACACCTGCACCCTGGGAAAAATTACCCCAGGCACCAGTACTGTCCGGAGGCTGACCTGCTGGAAAACAGCTCTGCAGAAACAGACCTGGGAGTGCTAGTGGACAAACTGAACATGAGCCAGCAGTGTGTCCTTGCTGCAAAGGTGGCCAACAGCACCCTGAGCTCTGTTAAGAGCACTGCCAGAAGGTTGAGGCAGGTGATCTTGCCCCTCCACTCAGCACTAGTAGGACACATCTGGAGCGCTGGGTCCAGCATGTGCCAGACTGAACTGAGTCCTGCAAAGGGCCACAAAGATGACTGAGGGATTGAAGCACCTGTCACACAAGGAAAGGCTGAGAGAACTGGGGTTGTTTAGGCTGGAGAAGACAAGGCTCAGGGATCAGTCTAATCAGTATGCACTAAATACCTGGCCTCCAACCTGTCCTTCCCAGGAGATTGACAGTTCCTGATACCACCACCCATGTCACCTAGATAATCTACTTCAGACATTTAATGTAGGTATTCACATGGTAAGTTAACCAGGAGCTTCCATAGCTTGTACACTGACATCCAGCTTGCTGCATATGTATTTCTCCATGAAAGTGAATCTAAAGAGTCAGAGAAATGGAAGCACTTATGTGCAAAACAAACCTAACATGTTCAGACACAACTTATATTTCTTTACCCTGAACTGCATCTCTGCTGTGGAAAAGAAAACTTTGGAAGAGAAATTCTACCCACCCACCTGCTGTCCTAAAATTTCTTTCATGTCAACAGCTGCTCTCTAAACATTAACCCAGTAAAAATCAATTAACTACTGTTGTGTGCCCACAGATTCAGGAAAACAGCACCAGGGAACCTGGGTGGTTTCCCAGCTGATATTCAGGGTTGAGGGCAGCAAAAGAGACCAGAATAGAGACCACTCCCCACATTCCCTCCCTCCTATGTTTCTGGTAATAGTTCAACCAGATAATGTAAGCAAGCTGAGGAAGCTGCAAGCTTTGGAAGAAGTATCGCTTTGCTATTGCTGATAACTTCACTTCTCCACAGCACTTTGATACTGATTTTTTCCATTTCCCTTTTTTTATAGCTACAAATATGAAAGAGCCTGAATGTTGCCTCCATCTTTCACAAAAAGGCACTTTGTTATGTACACCTAACCAAACTACACACGCATAACCAATAGTTTTTAATTGTCTGTGGAGAAATGAGCAAAATTCATCCTTCTCTTACATTGCTGCTGTCTTTGGAGTGTTAAATGCCTTCACCATTTTCAGTAATTCCAGGAACTCATGTAAGGAAATTACATTTGGGTGCTGGAACAGTTAGGGCCCAAAACTGATGGGATCTTTCACCCTATTCCAACAGTTTTTCTAAGTGGGAAATCAAGCATCTTATTGGAGAGTATCTGTTGCTGAGGAACTGGAGAGATACCTTACATTATTACTTTTACTTTGCAGAAGAGGATCACTTCTGCTATCACTTTTTCTAGCCACAAAACCCTTCGCTATATTCCAAAAGAGTAGCGAAACCACTTATGATTTATAAATAATAATAATTAAAAAAAACCCCATGGAAGCAGTACTATTTTTTGGAAGTGCTGGTGAGGATAAAATGTTCCTTGGTTTACAATACAAGTACTGTTACTAAATAAAGGAATAAAGACAAGTTAGTTAGTGGGAATGCAGATATATTAAGACCTTGCAAGGTAAAAGCGTAACTTGAGGAGGCTAATGCATTGAAAGTGGAGAACTGAAAAGAAATGTCTACACAAAAAAAACCATTAGAGCTGTCCCAAAAAGATGCGATGAGCATTTTAATAAATCAAATGAAAAGTGCTATGATTATAGAGGGGAAAAAAATACAGCAGTTAACAAAGAAGGAAAAAAAACCTATCAGGCTTGGTGGTCTGAATTCAGTTGTTCTAAAAAGGAAAACAGGATAAAAATATAGTACGCCTTAGTAAGATTTAGGACACACTGAACTATTCCAATACCTATAAATTAATCAATCATTTTCCTTGAAAAAAAGATGCAATATGGACTCTTACATCAAATGGGGTTAAATAAATATGACGAGAGGTAATCTTAAAATGAGAAAGAAATTTGCTACAAGACTACGAGAATACAGTATGGTATGGCAAACATGGAACAACTGGGCTAGAAAAGAACTACTAGTTCCTTCAAAAAATATCTTGAACCTTTATTTTAAACAGTGCTGCCAGAAAACAATAGGTAGATTTGGATGAGATGGAAGTGAAAATCATTGCAACAAAAGGGGAACAAAGCATAACACACACAAGTGACCAGTCTTGAAAAATGGCATATTAGAAACTCATGAAATTAAATGTTATGAAGTGCAAGATTCCTGTATGTAGGGACCAATACAATCTTCTTTCAGGTAGTCAGGGCTTGTTATTTGGGAGTATAGACATTCTGTGGTCAACTAGAAACTGATGCAGCTCTAAGGGACCAAAAGAAAAGGTGGGGAACAAAGAGGAAAATGCACATTGAGGATTTCTTTGCAACAGAGATAGATATGAGCACTGTTGCACAAGAGCAACAACTCGTCTGGAATACCACACACAATTCTGAATTCCTGGTTTCAAGAAAAAGAAGTTCGAATTACAAGAACTACAGGAAGGAGCTACTGATATGACCAAAGAGCTTGTTTTATAAAAGAAAAATTAGTCTTCCTTACTCAGCGCAGCAAAATAAAACTGGAATGAAGATACATATAAAAATTCATTAAAAAGATAAGCATCAAATAGGGAGAACTATGCCAACATTGTATCTCAGTTTAAGTCCAACAAATGAATATAAACAATATAAAGGATGTAGGAATCACTGTCACTCACAAATTCTCAATTGTGCCCATAGTAAAAAGAGTATGGAGGGAAATTTTCTGCACAATCTTTTTTACTTGACAACAGCATGGCCTTAAGGTTTAAATAACAGGTTAGAAACAGGAGAGTCAATAAACCTTGTATGTTGTTGTCAGAGACTGAAACAGTTAATGATTTATGCATTCTAGGACTGCCAGGAGACTTTTGCAGGCTTTTGCATTATACCTATGATGGGCAGCTGGGTCCATCTCCCCCTCCAGTGCTGCTGAAGGTGTCAAGCCCTGAAAAGGTGAGAAGAGCCGCGTTTACCATGCCCTCCACACGAACTCTGTGCTGGCCTGTCCAAGATGTTGGAGGTTCATGGCATGGCCCATTAAAGCCCACCCCCTCCCCAATTCTGAAAGGTGGGAAAAACCCTTCTACCAGGCCCCTCACGGGAACTCTGCGCAGGCCCAGGAGACGTTGGAGGCTCGTGGCATGGCCTGTGACACTGTCCATGGATATAACAACTCATAACTTCTTTGAGTGTGGGGGCTTCCCTCCTTCACCCCCAACAGATCAAGGTCACCACTTCAACTGACAGACATGGAAGCTGCAACTACCAAGTTTCATCGCTGGACCCTGTGGGCGGTGACTATAGACATCTTTCCACTCTCAGCTTTTCTTTCCCTTACCCTTATCCTGTCTTTCCATTCTCTCCCTTATGCATTTTCCCTAAAGGTTATCTTTATGCCATATTGCTATAGATGAAAAATATAGATGACAACACCCAAAATGCCAATATACCTGTTTACCTTTGAAACAAAATTGTTCTAAAACAAACCCTACATATATGTTTTCAAACACCAATTATTCAGTGTTGTTTCACTCTAATCCACCCCAAGGGATTTATTAATAAGAACCTGGGTTACCCCCCCCGCCCTTTTCTGGGGCGGGTCATAAAAGTTGTTTTCCAAGAAATTATTTTCTTACAGAGTATTTTCCAATGTAATGTTTATTGCAAAGCATATCACTACATTTTCCTTCTGTATAACTAAAGCAGCACAAGCAACAGCATTCGCCAAGCCAATATGAAGAAAGAGACTCTGAGATTTCTGAAGATGCCTGGTAACTACCTATATTTTAATTACATTTCCAAATTTTATAGCTGCCCCTGTCTGACTTCACCAATGAAGCAGTTGGGCAGAGAACAATCCAAGTTTTGAGAACTTGTATTTATTATATATTTTTGACTTGACTATTCCAGACTCCTGCAAAGAACCTTCAAGAAGCTTATGTGACATACCAATTAGGTAGATCAGCTCCCTGACTTTAATCTCCAAAAAGCATATATATTAGGTACTGCTGTTCTGCTTTGCCTCCTTAAAAAAAAAAAAAATTAAAATATTAGCAAAAACTGTGTTTGTTAAGGGAAAGTTTACATAAAAGGAATATGTCACTTTTTTATCTATGAGGGAGAATACAACTAAAATCAGCTTATTTGGCACACAGAACTTCCAGCCAGTCTAAAAAGGAAGTTCTTGCTGCAGAAAACAACATTCTCATTGTATACCAGAGAACCAAAAAGTGCCACAAGTTGCCAGAATATTTACAGGTATGAGGTAGACTATAACAAAGTATCACAAAACACAGCAAGGTAAGTGTTCTTGTTTGCATACTTTAACATCTTCTTCTTACAGCTCTAAGAAATACCATGGTGTAGTGAGTTTAGTTCAATCTCTTCCCTGCTTCCCTTGACCATCAAATGCACGAACAAAATCGAAGCACGTCCACGACCGTCCCCCCTCACTCCCAAAGTTGCGAGCTCATCTCCCAGGCTTTCCCAGAAATTCCAGAATATCATTTCCTCGTACATCCTGTATGTTGATGAGAGTGGAACAGACCGGAAGGACATATGTAGCTGAACACTAATGTAGCTGAACACACACAACCACTGTACGGCTTCCAGAACCCCACTCCTCTGTTCTGGTCAGTACAAGAAAATTAAATCTATGCAAACATTTCAAGCACCCAGATTCTTTGATCCCACAGGAAAACTCTTTAAAAAAAAATCACATTCTGGTTCAAGGAAACTCAAATGGCCTCCAACTCATCAGCTACAGCACATGCACATGGCTTTTGTATTGCTTAGCTGGTGACATTTCTGTACTCTAAACTATCACTTTCCGGAAAATGTGTGGCAAATAACACAAATTCCTTCACAATTCCTACGTTAGTTTAGAAGCCAACTGTTGACAATTTTTTGGGTGTCATTTGTGCATCAGTAAGAATTCATCAGTTATCAAAGGCTGCTATGTGTTGCAACAGAAGCCTCCTATTGTTCAGTGCTAAAATCAATCCTATCCTGTACAATAATCTGTTTAAAAACACCGCTCTTCAGTTTAGCATTCACTACTCACTCTGCATCGAAAAATAATTAATGTAAGTAGGGAACAAAGCATATTTTGAAAAAACACGATGGGTAACTGGCATAGCATGACTTCCAAATCAGCTGATTCACTATTCCATACTCACAGGCACTAAAATTGAAATTTTTGGGGTCACTGGAATGCAGCAGGAAGGTAAACTAAAGGTGAATGTTAATTGAGATTGCTGATGTGATAGGATACCATGTATGGAGTATCAAAGATCCCGCTTAAGATTTCTTTTCCTGTCTAAGGAAACTTTCCTTCTCAGTAATTCCCAAGAAAGTTTCAAGAAAAAAAAAACAAACGGGCAGGGGAGCATTAACTGTTTTCTTCCAAACATGCAATAAAAGCCTTGTACTGTAAGCTCTTGACAAAGGCTGCTGGCCTGCTGCAAAACTTTATAGGGCATGGATTACTGCCATCTTTTTACAGGCATTAATCAAAAACTACTGTCATGCAAACTACCCCACAGTGAAGATAATTAAATCCCAAACCTTTCTAGGTGCAAAGTGAACTTGTCAAGTACATCAAAATTCCTTTATTGTAATCTGACAAAACCCAGACTTTTATGACAAAACTTAAGGGTTTCTTGTAATATACTCTGAAAATTACAAAACACAGTAAAACACCTGAAGCTGAGTATCCTTTCAAAAGATACTCATTTACCTCACTGCACCACTGTTAGTCTTCATATTAAGACTACATGAAACTATCTAAATCTTTTCATCACCAACCCTGGCTCAAAAAAAATTAAATCTCAAATGGCTTTTCTCTGATGTAACAAGAAAAAAAACTAAGTGCTGAAGTGCTAAAAGTTTCTAAAGATTCTCTTAAAGCTCTCGATGGACATGGTAGCAAAAATTCTATAACTTAAACACACTAAAAGGCTGATCCCAAAGCATAAGGTATGTGCTACGTGTGCAAAGATGGTAGGCAATACACTACAGAAAAACTAATAAAAACTTATTCTCCTTATAAGTAACTCTTCAGTTAATAAACGTTTATCCCCCTCAAATTTTTTTGGCCCTTATTATAGCAAAAGGAGTAAACTGGAAGTGCGTAAGGAATTATTCAGAAATAAGTGCCCAAAGGGGTTCTTATCTTAAAGGTCTCTTGCCTGCCTGTTTATCTGTGTTTTTCTGGTTTGCTTCCAAATTTCATCAAAGCCAAGTAAACAAGTGGCATATAACTATCTAGGTCTCCCCACAGTGCAAAGTTTAACTTAAATCTACAGTACCAAACATACTTAATAAATATTTAATAAAAGTTACCTGATGTGAGATTAAATTGGCTGTCAAGGCAAACTGCCAGCATCACCATCGCCCTTTCACAAATATATATATGAAGCGAGCAATAACTTACTAATGCTCAGGTTCCCTTTTTTTTAAAGCAGAAGCTCCCTTTGAGGAACACACAGCACGCAAAAGCTTTTTTTATTGCAGGCGTATCACCCTTTTCCTTGCTTTGCTTACCAAAGAGCCAAAGTACTTTAACCAGCACTTCTCACCTTGGCACAACAAACCCTGGAGGCGCAGCCTAAATTCTTTCGGCCTTAGCTTTTCCCGTCTCTCTGGGGCCTGGCGCAGGAAAAGGGCGAACGTCACTTACGGCAGGAGTTTGGGAGCGATGCTCAAACACAGCACAGCTCCTGGGAGCCCCTTTCCCGGCGGCGCCAGGATCCCAAGGAAAAGGCTCTGGGGGGAGAAATGCGCTTTTCGCCACCACCCTGGAGGGGGAACCCCGGCCTGGCACCGCGCCCCGCACGCCGCGACGGCTCCGGGGGCCGCTCCGGCCCCTCCGCCCGCCCCCTCCCGCCTGGAGCGGGGCGAGGCCCGCTGCCCTCTGCGGCGGCTCCCCGAGGGGCTGCCCCGGCCCGCGGGGTGTCTCGGCCCTCACCGCTGGCGCCGCTCCCTCCGCGCTCGCAGGGCCGCGCTGTAGGCCCAGCTGCCTCCGAGCGCTTCCGCCCGGGCACGCGCCGCTTCCGGCCACGCCCCCACCGCGCTCCCGGCATGCCGCGCGAGGAGAGCGGTGCATGCTGGGGCGCGTAGTTCTAGGAGGGGGCAGGGGTCGGCCCGCTATCGCAGGGCTTGGGAGTGCTGTTCGACAGCGGCTGAACGTGAGCCGGCGTGTGCCCAGGCGGCCGGGAATGCCAGTGACATCCTGGCCTGTATCACGAATAGTGTGTCCACCAGGCCCAGGGCAGTGATAGTCCACTGTACTCGGCATGGGTGAGGCCACACTTCGAGTGCTGTGTCCTGTTCTGGGCCCCTCATTTCACAAAAGACATTGTGTTGCTGGAGCGAGTCCAGAGAAGGGCAACGAAGCTGGTGAAGGGTCTGGAGCACAAGTCTTATGAGGAGCGGCTGAGGTAGTTTAGCCTGGAGAAAAGGAGGCTTGGGGGTGGCCTTGTCTCTCTCTACAACTACCTGAAAGGATGCTGTAGCCAAGTGGGAATTGGTCCCTTCTCCCCGGTCACAAGCAATAGGACAATAAGAAACAGCCTCAAGTTGCACCACGGGAGGATTAGATTGGATATTAGGAAAAATTTCTCCAGAGAAAGGGTGATTAGACGTTGGAAGGGGCTGTCCAGGGAGGTCCCTGGAAGTGTTTAAGAAGAGACTGGATGTGGCACTTAGTGCCATGGTCTAGTAGACAGGGAGGTGTTTGGTTATAGGTTCGATTCGATCTCAGAGGTCTTTTCCAACCTGAGTGATCCTGGGATTCCGGCGATGCTGATGCGGGGCCTGCCGGTGTCGCCGCGGAGCCGGGCGGGCCCTTCCTGCGGCCGGAACCAAAGCGCATCGGGGCGGCGGCGCGTCGGGGCTGCCGGTGCGGCACCGCTACGCGCTGTGCCGGTGCGGCCGCGGCCCCGCCATGTTGCTGCTGCTGCTGCTGCGGAGGGCCGCCCCCGCCGCCGCTGCCCCCGCCGCTTGCCGCCGGGCCTCCACATGGCTCCAGGGCGCCGCGCACCGCGGGCTCCCGGCCGCCTGCCGCCGCCGGGCCACACTGCCCGCCGCCGGACCCCAGCAGGTTGTGTGTAATGTGGGGACGAGGGGAGGAGCGGGGCCTGGGGTTTGCGGCTTTGTCCTTACGGAAAGTGCGGATCTGAGGAGGGAAGCGAAGTGGCACTCGGGACGTACCTGAGATCACCCTCTCTGTTGTGCTCTGGTGAGACCCACTTGGAGTGCTGCGTCTAGCTCTGGGATCCCCAACAGAGGAAGGACATGGACCTGCTGGAGCCAGTCCTCAGGAGGGCCACCAAAATGATCAGAGGGATGGAGCACCTCTCCTGTTAGGAAAGACTGGGAGAATTGTGTTTGTACAGGATGAAAAAGAGCAGGCTTAGGGGTGCCCTAATTGCGGCCTTCCAGTACCTGAAGGGAGCCTACAGGAAAGATGGAGAGGGACTTTTTACAAGGACATATAGTGACAGGACAAGGGAGCATGAGTTCAAACTGAAAGACGAGAGGTTTAGATTAGATATTAGGAAGAAATTCTTTTATGTGAGGATGGTGACCTTTTCTGTGAGGTTCTGGGTAACTGGAACAGGTTACCCAGAGAAGTGGATGCCTCATCCCTGGAGGTGTTCAAGACTGGGTTGAATAGAAGTCTGAGCAACCTGGTCTAGTAGAAGGTGTCCCGTGCCCATGGCAGGGGGCTTGGAGCTAGATGATCTTTAGAGTTCCTTCCAACCCAACCCATTCCGTGATTCCGTGATCAGAGACCTAGTGAGTGTGGGCGCCGTGAATATCTTCCTGCAAAGCCTTGTGTAAGTTGATTGCAGGCTGAGTTTTTGGCATTGGGGTTGCATACATTTAGAGCTAACTTGGAATATTTACATGGAAGATTATTGAAACACTTGGGGTTTGTGGGATGCTTTGTGGTGTAACCTAACTTTAATCCCTAGTCTAAGATGCTGGGAATGGGTTCAGGGCAAGGAGAAACCTTGTGTGTGTGTGTATATACACACGTATACAGACATATATATGTGTGTATATAGATAGGTGGATATAAAGTGTAGTACTGATGTTGCTTGGCCATGTACTGCTTTCATCTTCCAGGTTACGTCTTTTCAAGGAGTGGCTGTTCGCAGCCTCAGCACATCCTCCCCTCATGAACACCCAGAACACGGAAGATTAGTTTATAAAGGAAATTTGGCAAAGACAGTGTTAGGTATGTGACTTGAAGTGCTATGTATTGCCTTTATTTTGTTTGTTTGGACCACGTTTGGTAACTGCCTGTGAAGTAAGAACTTCATAGTTGTGCGTAACAGGTGGTAGTGACTGCATCAGAAATAGAGCCAGCAACCAGGTTTGATAAACCCATCATGAATACTCTGTGAAACGTGAACATATAAACAAATCAGAATGATGACAGTGAGACAGGGCTGAGCTTTCAAGAGTTTCTCTGTGAGCTTAAAAAAAAGGGAAGGGGGTTTTCAGTAACTTCATCTGTTCAAGTAATGCCATTGTTATATGATAGCAGACCATATGTAATTGTAGAGAAGATTGTCCTCTTAAGTGTTAACCTTTGTTTTCTTTTTGTTCTGTTTTTATGTAGGTGTGAGGTTTTTCTCTTACTCCACCAGCATATTCAACCTGTTCATGATGCCCTACATCATGCTCAAAAGTGGTATTGGAGTGGAAAGTCTGCTTATGCAAGCTGCCTTTTATGGGATGATCGGGTTTTTTACATTTGTAACTCCAGTAACTTTGCATGTCCTTACAAAAGGTTATGTGATCCGACTCTATTACAAAGATGAAAAGGACACCTATACAGCCATAACCTACAATGCCATCTTGGCAGAAAAAGCAACTGTTTTCCATCAGAAAGATGTAAAGATTCCAGACATCACCAAGATGTTTACAACATTTTATGCTAAAACAAAATCAATGCTTGTTAATCCGACACTTTTTCCAAATCCTCAGGACTATAACCATCTCATGGGCTATGACAAATCCCCGCTTTTTAAGTTAGAGGAGTTAAAGGAAGCTGATGAAAGGAAATAATTTGAAGATAATGAATGTCAGTGTCATTGTTCTTAATGCAGTGCTGTGTATGTAAAAGAATGTAAAATTCTATTACGCTTTCTTAAGTCAGGTAGCTGGAGTTTTCCAAATGCATTTTGGAATGTATTAAAAAGACCCTTTTTTTTAATATTATGAACAATGTGACGGTTTCTTCAGAGTTAATGACATAAAATATAGTAAAAAAAGGTGCTTAGATCTGTCTTGCACTTATTTATTCTTGGCTTGATTTTTATTGTTAGCTCTCCAGAGAACTGTAAAATGCATAGGCTGTGTGGCAGTCTCACCAGCTCCTTGTCAAAGGAAACCATTCGTAAGAGAAAAATGATCAGTAGTCATTACCTATGAAGTATGTAGTTAATCTCCTAAGCCTTAAGTATTGTACTTAATCCAAAATCATCAGGCTTTTTTGTCAATGCTGTTGCTGGTGTAAAGGGAGTGGAGATGGCTTTTCCTTCCCTTCGTGAGACCGTGGGAGGAGTCTTTGGAAAGCAGACAGGTATTCTTCCTAGTTCCTGCTACAGCCTCCTCCTGGAGGAGAGAAGATAGGGAGAATGGCTGCATCACAGTAATCTCTGGGTACTCACAGCTACTAAATGGTTTCTTAAGGTGAAGTCCCACTCTGAGCAGCCCTGTCCCCAGAGGTGGAGAGCAAGAAGCCTCTCTTTGGTTGGGCTGGGGAAAGCACCTTGGCATCAGGTTTGCTCTGGGAGTATCCCATCAAGAACAGGTGCTGTGTTTGAACTGACTCAAAGAAAATTCTGGCAGCTAGTGGTTAAATTGGATTCTGTCAGCATTTATGTAAGGTGGGGAAGCAAAATAGAGTATCCTGTAGAATACTGTTTAGATCTTGTGCCTTTAAAAAAACATACCTTTTGATTTTCAGTACTGCAAAGAAAGCCACCTCTAGTTCAACTGAACAGAGGATCAGATCTTTTTGTGTGACTAGACTGGTTCTGCATGCCTGAGATGCAGGAGCTGGATTTAAATATTTTAGCCCAAGGCACATAAACTGACAGATACTTGTTTTCAAATAATGAAGGGCCTAAATATTTTGAGACTTAAAAATTACTGAATAAAAAAAACCCTAACAATTCAAATTAATCCTTTTGTGTTAGCAGTGCCTTTTGTAATAAGTAAATCTGATGTTTGCTACTAATTAAGGTATCCTGGTACTGCAAACAAAGAGAAAGATATTATAGTTGCCATTCAAGATGTTCCCTAAGTTCTAGCTGAAAATATATATTTAAAAGTCTAAATGTCTTCCAATGCTATTATTTCAATTTCACGTTGTAGGATGACATTAAACCACTGGTTTTGAATGTTGTTTTTCTGACTGTTGAAATTGCCCTCAATGTACTCGCTGAGTGATAAAAAAAGCAAATCATCCCATCCCAATATTTTTGAGGCAGTTCTTTGTGTTGACACAGCTATAGTTGTAAAAGCCTGATTGAGCCCCATTAAGCCAGTATCACTTCACGAGTAGCAATAATATAAAAATCAGATTTTCATAAATTACATGGAACCTGTGAGGTCAGTAATAAGCAATTCTGATCACCTGATTGTACTACTTATGGAAATGATGCTTTGCATCTAATTAAAAGTACCCTTTCCATGTCTGATGCATTCACTCGCTTCTTTTTGGTGCTTGCATTGAAAGATGAAGTCAACTTCATCTTTTAGTGCCAAATACAGGGAGAACAGGAAACAGTGTTTGCAGAAGAAGGTAAAAGAAAGGCCCCAAAATTGTATTTATGTGCCCCTTAGGTAATATCTTCTGACTGAAGAAAGTTTTAATTGCTAAATTTTAGATTTGTCCAATTCAGATTTAAGCAGCAGTAGTAAGATTTCTCCATTCCACTGGCTAAGTTTCTCAAAAAAATATGGAAGATAAATATTATTTCTTCTGCTTGTGTTCTGGCAGTGAAATGCAAGTTAAGCTAGT